AGGCAGGTTTCACTGTTTATCTCTTAAGCGGCTTACGGACTCGGGACTCCGATTCCGATTGCGATGGAGACTCTGTTTCAGGTAGACGACGACTTAATCGTTCCCCTGATGGTACGATGGTATGGCCAGACACCAATTAGCCACGAGTCCATAGTCCGTTTCTCTACTCCGTTTGAGAGACGCCTAAACCTTTGTTTACTTTCACTGGAGAACGGAGAATGGAGAATGGCACCGAGAACTTTCCATCCTGCAGTGAGAATCGATTTATGTCACAGCTGACAAGTTTTCCCATTTAATTTCCCCAGTGATTGGGCCAGCAGCAGAAGCAGCATTGACCGCAAAAGCCTCAAGATTGAAATGTCTGAAAGAGGATACCCTGAACCCTGTGGTATCCACATGCACATCCACATCCACATCCGTATCCGTAGCTGTTACCATTTTTTTGTTGTGGTTTTTTTTTGTGTGGGAAAACTGGAGCCCAACGGAGCTCAACTTTTTTGTGACAACTTTTAATTACATGCGACATCCGTTGACATCATCGAGTGATATGAGAGGGAGGTGGGGGGCAAGGCAGAATGGAGTCCGAAAACGGAAATTACTTTTGGGCCAGCATTCAGACCATTCTGAGACTGTTTGCCCACACATTAGGCCGCCTTAAGACGGATTGTTTGTTTGCTCGGAAAAACCAGTAAAGCCAGGGGAAATCCGATGGAAGTCTCTTGCTCTCTCGCTCTGTTGAAAACTGAGACATCGCCAAGCGTTTAGCAGCAGTCTTAATTAAGCAATTAAGCAAATATTTATTAATTAGTACAAGAGTTAATGGAGCTGCAAAGAGAGTGAAAGAGAGAGAGGGGGGATGGCTGTATGGGGAGTGGAGATCATTCACTTGAAAGATGATGATGATTAAGTTATGATTTCGTATGAAATTGAGTGAAATTGATTGAACAAAAACGTTACAAGGTCATTTTTTGAGAGTTACAAGAGATACAGCGAAAACAGACTTGTGATGGATTGGTATTTGTGGAGTATTGAGAGAGATTTCAACCTCTTCCGCTGTGGGACCATTCAATGTAGTGCCGCCAATCAACGGATGGGACAGAGATGGTGTCCAACCCCCCGTCTTCGGGGCAGCCTTCTACTTACAGATTATAGCATCGTCTTCATCAAGGTATCATCAACAATGATTTGAAAATGTTATTTTACGAGCCAAGTTTAATGAACCCCGTCGCCGTCCGGTCCGTCGTCTTAGTCGCATTAAGTTGCAAGCAAAATGTTTCATTAGCCGTGAGCCAAGAGTAGGTTGAACCCCATGGAGGGGGTATAGGAAAAAACTCGCACATTTTGATGTGGAGCCCGCTGGGTAATTAAGCGATGTGGCAACGCTGTCTGTTGTCGCAGTCGCAGTCTCAGTCTGTGCTCTGCTCAGTGCTCTGCATGCGTTGGGTTCCCATAATTTATGGCCCGGCAAATAATTATAATAGTAACACAATGCCTGGGCGAGGGGGGTAGGGCAGTTGGGTATATTGCAATCTTCCACCCTCCCCCCTCTGCACAGACTTTACAAAAGAGTCTTAAGTTTTATTGCATTAGGAGGCAACTTTGTTACTCTTTGATTATGGGAAAAAAAAAGCGCACTCTTCCTCGCGGAGTTTTTGTAAAAGGTGAGGCCCAACCAAAGAGTTCTCCCACGATAATTGCATGCATATGTGGTTTCAGTGGCCGTGTGACAAAAAGACAGAGAGAGAGAGAGAGTACCTTGTGTAAAAGTATACCTTGCAAAGGCTCTCCCACTGCTTTGCTGCTTGCCTTCTGCCTCCTATCAAGCTTTCCCGAAGCTTCTACTGCTGCTGTTCTCCCTCTGCCGCTGCTTTGCTCTACCTCTGCTTCTACTACTGCTGCTGCTGCGCTTTACTCTCCCTCTGCTTCCACTACTGCTGCTGCTGCGCTTTGCTCTGCCTCTGCTTTAACTGCTGCTGCTGCTGCGCTTTACTCTCCCTCTCCTTCTCCCTCTACTGCTCTGCCTTAACCGCTGCCTCTGCTCTGCTGCTGCTGCTACTGAAGTATTTTGCAGTAATTTTGTTGTTTCGTTTCTGTTTCATTCCTTCCTTTTTGCATGCGGCGTCGTCCGCTGGCTAACGGTAACCTAAAGCTAACTGCAATGACCGTTTTTTTTGCCTGCTGTTGTGTCTCTGCCTGCATTTGTAATTACACGCAGGGTAGAATCAACTAGAAGGAAAGGCAGTCCAGCAATCAGGGTGGCCCCCATCTTAGCCTTTCATTATGTCAGCATTCAGGTGCATCTAGAACGGAGATTGCCTAATAGCTGACACCGTACCCTCCCTTAAATATACCTTGTAATTATGCAAGTCGGTTCTAGAAATGACAGAGACAACGACAAGGACAGAGGCAGCGACAGCGACAGAAACAGCGATTGAGATTGAGACTGAGACCAGACTTTGACTTGGCGCAGGAGGAGTAGAACGAAAGGAGGAGAAGCAAAGGCAGAGAGAAGGAGTAGGAAATCAAGTCTTTGGACATTTGCCACTTGTTTGCATAAGAGTGAGATCTCTCCACATGTCCCTCCGCTCTGTCTGCTGTCTCTGTCGCTCTGCGAAGAATTCTCTGTTGCGTCATTAATAAAAATGTCTGGCAATGGCTTAAAATTTATGGCATGGCTGGCAGGCCAGGCCTGGCAGCAGTACCACTTTTCATATGCCAGATGACAGTAAGCGGGTTTTTATAAATATTTTTTTGTTCGCTTTACTCCTCGCGTGTGAATGCAAAACTGAGTGGAGTGCAGTGCAGTGCAGTGCAGTGCAGCGGCAGGGATTGTAAAACTGTGTTCAAGAGAGAGAGCGCGTGAAGAAACTACAGCAATGGCTCTACAACTGTCAGTGAAATCATACCCATTATGGTGCTGGCGCTTGTAAAACTGTAATGAATTTTAAATTCCTTCAAATGGAGATTTATGATTGCCCCACACACGCAATTGCTGCCCCACTTTATGTTTCTGCCACACAACTGTCCTGGCAATTGTGACACGTGTCCCTGTCACGCCCCCCCCTACATGTGCCTCCTATCCCATGCATATCCCTTTACTGCCTCCCCCCGACTGTCGTTTCCTTTGACTTTGCCCCGTCATTGTGGCCGTGTCATAAAATAATAATCGCCGCTTATAAACACACATTGTCATGGTAGGGGCAGGGGCAGCGGCAGAGGGAGGGGGGGCAGTGGAATTAGGGCACGGGAAAAGGGAAAGCCAATCATTAATTCGATTGTCGTGCAACACTGTCCTAGGATTGCCACCCGCTTAGCTTTGAGCAAATGTCAATAGTAGTATTGTTGTCTGTGGCGTCGGAAACGGAGTCCAGAGTGACCCAGAAATATGGTGTTCCAGTGACGTCATGCTGCGGGACTGTCCAACTGTACAGGAAACGCGAGGGACCGGCGGAGCTCAATCCTCCCTGACAGCTGGACAGGAAGCGCTGCGGATGACAGAGGGAGACGGGGAGAGCGACGAAACCAAGGCGGAAGGATGCATTATGCTCGCTCTTTTCGGGCTGTGGTTTTGGTTTCGGTTTCAGTTCGAATTTCCGGCCCAAAGTGGATTTATTATTTCTTCTGCTTTTGGCGTTTTTCTCTGTGTGTTTTGGTTTTTTTATTAATTATTACCTTTCAGTGGCTCACTTCTGGCCACTTCTTCTGGCCCATATTCAGCTCTTCGCCAGCTGTCAATTTGAGATTTTATATTTTGCGGTCAGTCGGCGTTTCTTTCTTTCTCTCTCCCTTTCACCTGGCACGCGTTGGCCAGCAGCAGGTGGAACAAAACACAAAAACACTGAATAAAAGTTATAAAAAAAGTACGCAAAAAATAAAAAACCTTTTTCACGAGTTTTCCATTACAAGCTGAGGTCATAGCTGCACTCGTAATCAAATTATTTCTAGCTAAAAAAAATACAAGCCAAGGGGGCGGCAGGGAGTGGTGCCTCTACCTCTGCCTCTTAGCTAATTGTGATGACCTCAACACTTGCCCACTCTCTCCCTCTCCGCCACTCTCTTATTCTCGCCACCACGATTAAAGAGAGCGAGAATTCCATTTCCATTTGGCACTAATGGGTTAATAATGTGCGAAAGCATATAAAAAAACTTCTTAGACTAATTAAATGTCGTTTCCACAAATACTCTTAGTGGCTGTGGATAATTATGCCCCACCGAAAAAAAAAAAAATGGAGATTAGTCCCCAGAGCCATTTGGGCCATTATCGAAAACGCTTCTGGCCAGAATGGGGGACAGTTATTGAAAGCGGGTTAAGCGCATTAGGGTCAGGGTAAGTGGAGAGCCCAATGGAGAGAGAGAGAGAGAGAGGGACAGCATTCTAGGGAAATTGAAATTGGGGAAGTGGTATTCGGAATTATGTGTGGAAAGGTCTTACGAGGGGAAGCTAAGCGATAAAGAAGTTGGGAAAATGGTCTTAAAAAGGGAAGGAATTGTGCGATTATATTGTTAATCCAGATGCCAATACAAAGCGCGATTATTGGATCGGGATTTGGGAATTTTTCCACCAAGAACATTGCCGTATGGGCAATTCTACTTTCCATTTCTACTTTCCTACTAGAACATTTACAAGTGTCAAAACGCATCCATTCAAATGTGATCTTGACTCTGAGGATGGCACTCCAGAAAAGTAGAGCATAGATCCAGATCAAGGGAGCATTCTATATCCCACACGAAACCGTGTTTTCGAGTGCCATTGAACGGACTTTCCGGCAATCAGTCAACGGCTTACAAGTTTTTATGGGTCTAGAAAAAAGTGATGCGTCAGGACAAAGATTCGGTAGCGTATCGGCGCTAATAATATTGATACTGCCAGAGTCTACGATTGTAAATCTCCTTCTCTATCAACTGATTTGATAACGATAATTGATAGCCGATCTACTTTAGAACATATGTACTCTGATTAGAGCTGCCTATAAAAAGCGATGTCCGAGCCACGAGCAGCACAAACCAAAACCAGTAGCCAAGATGAAACAATTTGTGGTGCTCCTTGCTCTGACGGTGGCTGCCGTTTCGGCCAACACGATTGCGATGCCAGGATTCCCCGAGGGACGCATTATCAACGGCCATGAGGCCCAGGCCGGCGAGGCACCCTACATTGTCTCCCTGCAGACCAGCTCTCACTTCTGTGCCGGTTCGATCATCAATGAAAACTGGGTGCTTACTGCCGCCCATTGCCTGATCTACAACAGCTACCAGGTGGTGGCCGCAGCCCACGCCCGGTCCAGCAAGGAGGACACCCAGGTGCGCCAGGTCACCAGCGGCGACCACATCGTCCACGAGAACTATGACGGCGGTGTGGGACCCTACGACATTGGCCTGATCTACGTGGCGACGCCCTTCGACCTGAATGCCGTCTCCCGCGACGGCAGCGCGCCCGTGGCCAGCATTGCCCTGCCACCCAAGAAGCTCGAGGGCTCCACCGACGGCACCCTCTACGGCTGGGGCCGCGACAACTCCGGCGCCCTGCCCGAGAAGCTCCAGAAGCTCGATGTGGACATCATCGACTACGTGCAGTGCAAGGCCGCCCTGCCCTCCAACAGCAAAGTGGCTGAGAGCAATGTCTGCACCTACACTGCCGGCACCACCGACGGCGCCTGCAACGGCGACAGTGGCGGCCCTCTGATCAGCCGCTCCTCCGACGGCTCGGCCTACCTGGTCGGCATTGTCTCCTGGGGCTACACTCCTTGCGCTTCCACCAAGTATCCCTCGGTTTACACCTCGACCGCTGACTACGATGCGTGGATCGCCGAAAAGATTGCTAAATTCTAGATTTGGCCAGCGAAAACGATCAACCTATATTCCAATAAAAGAACATTTTGTCCACCCCAAAAGGGTGTTGTAGAAAAATAGTCACCTTCAACTCGAAACCTATCCCAAGCTCGTTACGTGCGACCGAAGAGCGCTGCTGCATGATGCGCGACATGCTGAAAAGGAGTGTTAGCTCTTGTTTCACTTTCTTCCACGATACCGTCTCCACCGTGCTTTGTGGAATCAACAATCTGCACACCTTCTAACGCCTACAGTTTTGCGCTCTATGCCCTACAGTTTGATGGCTACCACACCCATCGGTTTGCGGTTCATTGAACCAACAAAAAAGACACAAAACCTACGACACTGCGACAAGCCATTTGTCATCTTTTGTGGGATGCCTCTGGGGCTGGCACCTGACACCTGGTGACCAGGTCGCCCACCACTCCTCCGACTCCCTCTCCTCCCTTTTTATTGTAGCTTTACTGTAACTGTGGCTGTGGCTGTGGCGTGTGTCTTGTGTGACAGTTTACAAGGCGACAGAAAACACACAGACAAAGAAATGAAATGAACTTTTTCGCACTTGATGGCCATTAATTTCTTGTGTGGCATGCCCCGGGGCTCATCTTACGGCCCTACTGTCATTACAGTTGTGCCGCCGTCTTTACTGTTGTGAACTTTGACAGGGATTTGCCATTGCGTGACCCGCAGACGTGACAGCAGCAGAGGTGGAGGAGGAGGAGGCCCGATGCCTCTGGAAACCCATAAGAGCTAAAAGCTAATGGCTAAAGCCTTCGATCTGTTGATTCATGGAATGTTTGTGCAAAAAACACTGAAAACACGTTTTGCGGCTCAATGAAAATGTCAAATGGGTGATCCGCTTATGAGAAGACAGAGACTCCGAACAGCCTTGGTTATGGATCGCGACTCGTGCGCACAGAGAGGCCTATCAAATGTGTATCTTGTATCTGTATCTGCGACGCATCAGTGGGCAAAACATTGAGCTTTATCAGCGGCGGCTCTTGGACGGATGATGGGTTTCATTTCTGTATCGTTTCTGTGTCAGCTAATTTCCATGGCATTGTGGCAGGCAACAAATGGCATTTCCATTGAAAAAGAGCGACCCAACGCTTTTCTCGCCAGCGAAAGTTGGCAGCGAAAAGCCAGCCCCGAAATAACAATGCTTTTCCGGCATGCCACAAGCGAAAGAGATGGAGATAGTGGAGTTTCTGTTGGAGGAGCTCTATAGGAACTATTACAAGGTTGTTCGGGGGTTCGGCTCGGGGTGTTTGCGTTTTGCCGCTTTTTGGGCATAAATTAAAGCCTAAGGTCGTTGCTTAAAGGTGGAAAACAACAGTTAGACATACAGAACGGCACAAAAGCAGTTAACAGACGCAGAGAACTCAAAGAGATACAACAGATACAACAGAGAGCTGGCGGAGAGAGGGAGGAGAAGATACAACATAATTTACACATAGCAAAGAGTTAATCACCCGAAGATACAACCTGTCGAAGGCATAAAAGCGAGATCCAAGATCCAAGTGGGAAACAGACTCTTAGATAACTCCCAGCCCGTTCCGATCTCCTTTTGCTCTTCCCATTCTCTCGAACCGATTCAATCGATCGTTTATGGTTATGTTTTCCATTCTGTTCTTTGTTGGCATGCTAATCACATCCACTCTTTGCCTCGATGCCTCACAGACCTCGAGAACACGCCTCATTCATAAATAATTTGCTGTTAATTTTTATAATTTTGCGCAAAGTAATTTTCCAACCAACGTAAGCAATGTTTTCCGCTTGTCAGAGTTAAGGAAGGAGCCGGAGCCGGAGCGGGAGAGAAGGCAACAAAACTGAAAGTTGAGCTGACCAAACAAGTTAACTGGTTTGCTGGCCAAGACCTGTGGCTCTTAAACAAAGCCCAGCATTTGTTTCCGCTGCCTCCGCCTGGTTTCTTGGTAACCCAAGATCTCAATTGAAGCTCAGGCTTGGATTTTGATTTGGATTCCGATTCAGACTTGGGCTTACACTCGAATTAGTTGCTTTGTTCTAAGACAAGCTTTAGAAGGTCTTCGTCTCCTCTGTGTATCAAATGATCAAAGTGTGCAACAGAAAACTAAGCCAAGGCAAAAGAACTGCCACAAGAAGACTCACTCGGAGACCGATGTAATAAGCTCCTGCGCGTCATGCAGCAGTGGCCCTCGGTCAGATCTGGCTTTCTGCTGGGTTGTGCCTTTCGACTGTCATCACAGCGGAGACCTCTGTCGAACCAGCCAAGGAATGCCCTAAAAATAAACTCCAGACTTTAGGCAATTAATCATAAATAATGGATCACACATTTCTCAAGTTTCCGAAACCTCAACCTTGTTCTGGGGTATCTACGCATCTTGTATCCGCCTATCTTGTATCTGGCACGGGTATCTCCCTCCTACAACACCCGCACTTTTGGCACTTGTGGCACTCCACCCTCTCAGATTGATGTGCTGCCAAAAATCATAATCATCGAATGGATCGGCCCACTTGACCTTATTTTGCCAAGACAAACAATAAGCAATAAGAAATACATGCCCGTATACACAGAAAAATATCTTATAGATAGCCCCTTAGATCTCTCTCGACGTCTCTGTATGTAAATGTAGCGAAGTGAAAAGCCTTGACTCTCGGTAGTTCAATTAATAATTAAATCTCATTTGTTTTTCCGTCACTGTTTTTTATGCCTTTTGTTAATTGAATTTGTGTTTGGCTTGTGTGCGAGATTTCTGTGTAGATTCTTTGTAGAAAACAAAAGAGAGACAAACAAAATTCAAATTCAAATTCGAATTCGGCCAAGACTGAATAGAGAGAGACAGGGAGAGAGAGATATGGCCAAGGTTTTGCCATCGCCTATCGCGTGCGTGTCAAAACTTCAGATGAAGAAAAACTGGAAAATAAATAATAATAATACAATAATCATAACAATAAAGAGATGTAGACACAAAACATCTCTGCTGCTGATGATATGCCCTCAAGATATATTCCAAGATTGAAGATTCGGTTCCGGTTTTCGTCTGTCTGCGCTGCTGCTGCTGGGAAAGAAAGTTTCTAAACGAAATTGCTCGCAATGTTGTGTTAAAAAGATTAAAGCAACGAAAGAAAAGAAAGGAAATAAATTCATTAGGCAAAAGACAAAAATCCCGTTGCCCCTGCGGGTGAGAGGGGCCAAGCGCCCATGGAAGTGGCTAACACGCCCCCAACACGAAGCCCCCGTCCCGTAGTCCCCTCCTTCTACTACTAGCATTGCCCACTCTTTACTCTCTCTTCTCTCCCCCTCTCTTTTTGTTTGCTGTGAATTTCTTCATAAATATTTCGTGAAAAGAAAGTTTCACAGTGGCTGACAAACTGTAACGCAGGCCCCCACCGCAAGCGAAAAGCACCCGAAAAACCAATAACCCAAACCTGACTCTCAGATGAATCACCTATAAAAGCGAGTGTTGCGAGTTTTGGGTAGAAGATTGCCAGACATTTAATACCCTATAACGAAGGTGCATAGATAGGCGATTAGCTTAGGTATGGATACAAGTAGAGGCTTCTATCTCTGCAACTCACCTGTGGAAATCTCTGTGTGAAAGCTATCTTTACAGTTTTCTAAGAAAAGCATAACAATCGTTCACTGCTTCGATGATCAATTCGTTCCCAAAGAAGTCATTAATCGTAGAAAATTCATGGCATTCGGATTCTAAGCTAACTTTTTAGTCGGTAGTTCAAAAATGTATCTATTATTCGAAAATTTAATACAATTTCTCTGTTGAAATATGCTGTAAGGAATCTTTATAGTCGGATCCTTCAGACTTCTTTGAAATTTCTTCAAAATTTGGTCATAGAATTCGTGGTTCTCTTTATTAAAGTAGCGAGGGATATATCTTTTTACTCTTTAGAGATAATTCAATCAATTCTTATGAGGTTTAATACAATATTCTTCCTAAATTAGTCTTTTGGAAATATGGGATAACTTTTTATATCTACTTCACTGAAATTTCTGGGTATGACAGGGTATCCCAAGCCTCGACTCCCCCTTTGGCTAACCTTTCTTTCTTGTATCTTGTTGGTATTATGAGTATCTGTATCTGTATCTGTATCTGTTTCTGTAGTTGTTGCTGTGGCTGTGGCTGTTGTGTGTTGAAAGTGTTAAATGCATTGCATACTCTGGTTTTTGGCCAATGCTTCACCTGAATCTGAATCTGAATCTGCTGACCAGCCAATGGTCACTCTTTCTCTGTTGTTTATTTTTTGATCATTGCCCAACTTTGAGTTTCAGTTTGTTTCGGTTTTCGGTTTTCGGTTTTGGTTGTGGTTTTTGGGTTTTATTTTCGTTTTGCATTTCACTTTGCGGGGCAGCGGCACTTGCATGACTGTCGGTCTCCCGTTTATCGTTTATTTCGGAATTTTAGTGGCTGGTTTTTCGCTTGCCGCTCGGCTTTAATTGCCAGCCAACATGCAACAAAATGGCCAACAATCCTTCTACAATTTTTCGAATTCATTCACTCCATCAGTGCCCCCCCTGTCTGTAGCTGTGTCCCCCTGTGAGGCCCCCGTCCGCAGGATGTCAATGATTGATTGCAAGAGTGGAATGTCTCTCTCAAACGATTCGCACCCCACAACAACGGCCCACTCTTCAACGGTCAGTTGCACTTTTCTTTCCACCGAAAAGGCGTTTGCATGCTTAGCCTTGTTTTGTTTTCTGGCGTATCTGGCGTTATTTATGCGGCTTATTAAGTTTATGGACTGCTAATTTATTGATTTATATGCCACACTGCAGCAGAGACTGAATCAAATTGGAAGTTTTGTTTTCGGCCTGCCAGACACATTGTAAAATGAAAATAAAAAACAATTGACGTACGGGGTGATTGCATTGCGAATGGGAATAAATCAAGGGAGTTCAACCCATCAACAGTTTGAGTGGGTTTTTTGATGGCTACAGTTGTGGGAGGGTTGGGAATAGGGGAGCGTAAATTGGGGGGGATTGGAGTAACCGAATGGATTTGGTGAGTCAGCCAGAATTTGCATCTCAGCTTTTTACTGTCAGATCCGAAAATTTCGCTGCTTTTTTTCTCGCTCACTCTCTGCT